GATTTGACGCCGATGTGACACAAATGTCACAAACAGAAACTAGGAAACATAAGAGTTTAACACTTGCAAAGAATGTTTTTATTAAGAACAATTTGTAAACTTTGTAAATAAAAAGTGAAAAAGTTATTGCTTTCTTTAAATAGTAATTAAATACAATAGATGGATAATAATAGTAATCTTCTTCTTTACCTTTATCATTATTAACATTATAAAAGGATTAATATTATATAAATGTAAAATATTATAGGATAAATGGATAGAGTAAATATAAAATTTCTGCAAAACAAGAGATTTCTTTTTTTAAATCGTCTTTCAAAATATTAATCAAATCCTAAAATGTTGTTTTATATCTACTATATGTCGGAGAAAAATTATCTTGTGTTTATACAATAAACAGTTCGAAGATGAGAAGTTTCTTGTTACCTGAAAATTTAACTTTTTAGATTCATTTGTGTGATTTTTGCGGAAAAAGTTTTCAATATATATATTTTATAAGAAGCGTTGCAATAATACTGTCGAAGTCTCAAGAAAGCGATTTAAAAGAAATTTAATTTTGAAATTCGCGTAGTCGATAAGATAAGCGTTTTAGGCATTGCTTCTCAAAGTTACAAAAGAGACGCGGAAATGCGTTACGATATAAACATGAGCATGTGCTGGCCCTTAATGACCGGGGCGTAATGATCACTTGGCACGTGCCGGATCGCTTTCGATAAATCAGGCAAAGCGGCCGATAATGATAGGGCAGCGCCCGTGCTTGAGGGGTGTCCTGTAAATATTTCCGGTTGCCGTTGACGATCCGTCACACTCGTAATGCAATACTAACAATAAGCGTAGAATCGTTCTACTCATTTGCATACAAGAGCCACATAGGCTATTATAACATTATAAAACAGATAATCTATGCATCATGAATTACGCAGACTATACATATATTATAATGTACAAACAATAAATAATAGATATATAGTTTATTAAATAATACAAATTTATAAATTTGAATTTACATTAAATTTTAATGTAGACTCGGAAATTATCAACGAAACAAAACGTTCGATTTGTTATTAATTTTCCGAAACTGACGTATTTAAGTCTATTAGACTCACTATATGCAGTTATTGTTCAAATAATAAAGATTTTTATGAGTAAAAATAATATAATTGTTGTTGTGAAGTAATGTTAAGAAATACATAATTATATTTGAATTTATGATTAATTATTTATTATTAGCTTAATTCTTGTATCTATTGTTGTAACAATTGCCATTTTACACAAAAACGTTAAACAATTTAATTTTCTTTATGTTACATATCTGCTTTAAAGTATTCTTATTAAAACTTACAATTTAGTATTTATTCTTTTTTGTAAGAGTTATGTCATTTTGTTTCTTTGAAATTAATTAATGCCTTTTAATTAATGTACAGTAAATATAAAAAGTGTTTGTATGGGAAAATTTTTATGAAATAGCTTTATTTGTAGAAAATAAATATTAAGTAGCAATTTATTAATGAGTATGTTTTGTCCTAATATAAACAAAACAGTTTCGCGTGTTTATGATCTTTAAATTAAAATCTTTCTCGAGTATTTTTTGTGTGTCTAAATAATTATAAAATTTTTTACTTTGGCTTAATTTTTAGGTCATTTTAATTATTACACAACTTTTTGAGTAAAATAAAAACAAATTTTAAGAAATACACAACCTGTTCTATTTTTCGTTAATAAATTGCTAGCTATTTTTTAAAAATAAGATTTTTTTCAGAACATTTCTCGTATGAATATCTTGTGCATTCACTGTATATATTAAATGGATCTCATAGGCGGTCAGTGCTAGTATGTACATACCTAACTGCGTTATAGATTTTTTACAGTTGTGTTACAGTTTCATAAAATTAACTTCCATCAATTGTTGTTAATTCTATAAAAGGCTCTGAATTGAATATTGCAACATATCGTAGATCTCGAAAAACTAAACTGAGTTGAAGAGAACCGCGGATTCCAGATGGCATCAGATTCACTGTTCCAAGATGTTGATTGCATCAGCTCTATGCGGTTCGCATTTTTTCTATCGAAAGTGAAACGATGCACGATCCGAGTGTCACCGACGCCGCCATGGTTCCGCTACTTCCGGCAGTGAGAGGCCGAGGGCGGAGGGCGAGAGCCCGCCGAAAATCGCGTTAGTGCACGTGTTTTCGCGCGATCCAATCCGCGGCGGATTAACCAACCGAGGAAAACCTCGTTATTCTTCGAGCCGACGGTACCGCAGCTCTTTTTTTATCCGATTCACTTTCTCGAGATAATGCGCGCAACTGCGCTATTTGCGAAAAGCTACCATTTAGGCGCGGCGGTTATCATATCGACACATGAAAAATTACAAAAAAGTATTGAAAACATGATTATATTTGATGAATTACATTTAATGAGCCCCTTAACATAATAAAGATGATAATTAGCTAATTAATAATAAATTAAATATAGCGTTAATTAATAAGTTTTACTGACACATAAATTATTTATATTTAAATAATAAATTTATATTAAATGAAAATAATTAATTAACTTTCTCTTTCCAAAATTATTTAATTTAATAATTATTTGAAGAATAAAAGATATCTTTATATAATATTTATTTCATAATATTTATAATAAATATTCATGATCTGTGCAATCTAAAAAACCACAAAAATATTTACAAAATATTTAAAATAAATTTTATAAATATTTCTAAATATTTTGTAAATATTGTGTGCTGTCTGAGTAATTAAGATTGTCGAAACATCCTTTACGAAATATTTTACACGTATAAAATATGTAATATACAGTGCAAAAAGTATTAGGTAGTATAAAGAAAATTTTCATAAAAATAATTTTATCTGTAAAAAATGAACATTAATTACACACGCCGCACTAGAGACGGGCATAGCAGAACATTATACTGTTTCAAAACATTAGGAACAGTTACTCTAATGTTCCGTTCATGGGGTCAATCATGTATTTTCACGTGAAACTTTCCACATTTAATTTTTCACTCATCGAGATTTCACGTGAAACTTTTCATGTATAGGCGATTACATATGCAATATTGCATGGACAACTGAGCAATCCATATAATCTACAATCTATAATAACCTATAATCTATATCTATAATAACACAGAAAGAAATATTATTATAATAGTTACATATATATAACCTCTCTCCCGTCAATGCGATATTATTTCTTCTTCAATTATTAATGGCATCTGCGTTGAAATAAATTGTCGGAGGATAAGACACGTTAGTTCCGAAGTATATTTATCAATTCCTTAGATTTCCGTCTTTCCGCCACCACTTGGCTAAAAAGTTCACGTAAACAATTTCACATTTCACAGTTGGGAAAGTTACACGATCCCCCGAAATCATAAATGATCATAGAATTCACGTGAAACTTGTCACTTTTCACGTTTCCGCCCTAGGGGAAAAGTTACATGATTGACTCTCAGAAGTTCCGTTCGTTTGTTCGGCTCTCTTTTGATAAGATGGCGCAGTCCTACAAGTCATGATTGTCATGAACGTTCCATTCGCTTTGACCGAATTCTTTTACTGACCAAAAAATTCGAAACGCCATAAAAAAAATTAACGAAACTAGAGATGTACCGTTCAGAGATATTTCGTTCACTTTGAATGGATCCTTTTACCTTTTTACTAATCTGTGGCTCGAGACGTACGTAGTACCTAGATCACATTGCGCATCCTCTCCTCTCCAGAAAGAATGATCGCGTTCAGCAGAGGAAACTAATCAGTTAGCGCTTAGCGATTCTTTAATATGATTGGTTCTTGCCTTTAGTTCTTGGCTGGATTTAAATGTAGGAACCAATCGTATTGAAGAATTACTAAACGTTAATTGATTAGTTTTCTTTGCTTGAACGCAATCATTGGTTGCGTTCGGCAGATTCAATTGTTGCGGAGCGGATCCGTGAGCGCTCGCTGCTATTGGTGTATTCTTTCAGATCGTCCAATCAACATTCCGACGATACGAAGCAAAATCCATCGGAATCCTGTTTTCTGATTGGTTGCAGAGCGTATATCTGATACAGTGTGAATCCAGCAACAGACTAGTAAAAGGATCCGTTCAAAGTGAACAAAATGGCCGCAGCACACGCTCTTGCATAACGCATAATGCATAGTGCATAAACGAATCAACCAATCAAAATTCTTCCTTTTCATGGAACAAGAGGAAAGGAAAGATTCTGATTAGTTGATTCGCTTATGCACTATGCGTTATGCGTTATGCAAAAGTGTGTGCTGCGGCCTTATCTCTGAACAGTATTGGCCGCAGCACACACTCTTGCATAATGCATAATACATAGTGCATAATGGAATCAACCAATCGAAATTCTTCTTTTCCATGGAATGAGAGGAAAGGAAAGCTTCTGATTCGCTTATGCACTATGCGTTATGCGTCATGCAAGAGCTTGTGTCTGGGCTCTATAGCGGGGAGCACAGATTCTTGCATAACGCATAACACATGAGGCATAAGAAATTGAACCAATCAGAGTCCTTTATTTCATAGAAAGGAGGGAAATGAAGGACTTCGATTGGCACATTTTTTTATGCATACGTGTTATGCGTTATGCAAGAGTCTGTGCTCCCCGCTTATAGGCCGCAGCACACACTCTTGCATAACGCATAACGCATAGTACATAAGCGAATCAACTAATCAGAAGCTTTCCTTTCCTCTCATTCCATGGAAAAGAAGAATTTCGATTGGTTGATTCCATTATGCACTATGTATTATGCGTTATGCAAGAGTATGTGCTGCGGCCATTATATCTCTAGTTTCGTTTATTTTTTCCGTGGCGTTTCGATTCTTTCGGTCCGTAAAAGGATCCGTTCAAAATGAACGGAACGTTCGTGAACGACACGTCTCTACGCCGCACATTGCGACGTTTGACGCTTACAGCGCACGATGTTTATATATTTCCGCAACATCTCCGCGCCGTTATTCGTGCAGCGAACCACCGGCAGTACCGGCACCGAATCGAAGCTCGAGCGAGCGGGTCGTGGCACTCAGTCTGACGGAAAGTTCAGTTGGATCAAAAGAACAGGGACGTTTCGAATTATACGAGTAAGATAAAGGTATTGGTAGAAATCATCGCCAAACTCGATCAAGAAATGGACGAATTGGCAGACATTCGTGAATACGAGACTGAGGAATTTGAAAATCTGTTCTACTTGTGTTGCACCGAACTTGACGAGATACAAGACGAGATCAAAGTTGTCAAGGAAAATCAAAAGCATTTACAGTCCACACAGAAGGTGATTATATCGACCTGTGATTCCTCTGAAAAGTCTTACGATAACGAATATATTTGCTCGTCATTGAAAAAAGAGATACGGAAGTTGCGAGTGGAAATTATATTGAAGAATAAAAAAATTCGGACGTTGGAGCATCAAATACATAGCAGAAATGTCCTTCATAATATTTGTAAAAGGCGATTACAGCAACTATTGAAGGCACACAGCTATAAAGTATTTTATTACATTTCGGTTATTATGAACATTAAGTATATTTATACAGAACGTACTTTCATAAATGCATATTGTTCTTACAGATTAGCAAGATAAAAGCGGAAATTGAGCAAATACAGATGGCTATATTGTGTACAAAGGCGAAAGAATGTGAGGTATGCAAACAGAGAATCGTAAATAAGAGATATCAAATATGTCAGACAATGTCGAATAATAATAAATACCTATTTCGATTTTGTGGCACAATTGACATTAAGCGATCATTAAACGATCAATATTACTGTACAATTATATTGTACAGTATTATTGATATGTACCTTCTCTATGTAGACAATTTAATACAACTCTTAATATAATTTTCAATCAAATTATGCAATAATTTAGCTATCTTTTGTTATGAATTTGATATGCATTTAATCCAGATCATTTCTAAGGGCTAGTAGGACAAATTCATTTTTATTCAAATTAAAAACCATTATATAGCAAAATTGGTTGGACGTACTAGTACGCATTTGTGTATATTGAAGCAATTGTATGCTAATTTAAATAGAGATTTAATCCATATATTATATTTATAATTTTATGTAAATTTGTGTGCAAACGATAGCTTTAACGTGCACAATGAGTGCATCCAATTCGGTAGTAGGTAAATCTTCACTCAATTATGATAAAGTAATAAAAATTGCTTTAAAATGTTTTACATGTTTTATATCTCTTAAAGAAATTAATTAATTAAACACTAATATTAACTAATATATCTTTAATATATTTTGAAAGTAAAAAGTCCGTATATATGTACGTACATATATACTGTATATAGTAATTTGCATTGAATTATTTAAGCATTAAAAGATCTAGCTTTGACTATTATGACAATTATTTCCTATCTCCTATTTGTTGAATTTAAAAAAATTTGTGTTGAATAAAAAAGTAAAAGTGACTCAATATATCCCATCCATGGAGTGTGTAAGCCATCCCGAGGAGAAAGATGAGCCATAAGGTTTGTTCGCGTCGCATGCTCCAACATGTTCCTACATACTCCTACCATAGCTCCTACTCACTCTATCAAGCGCGTTGGAGTGAGTAGGAGCTATGGTAGGAGCATATTGGAGCATGCGACGCGAACAAACCCATAAAGAGATAATTGTCTAATAAGGTCTAATATAATATTAAAGAACAAAAGAATAAATATCTTAATCGAATCTTTATTAAAATTTGTATAATATAAGATCCTTAAGTGATTGACTCGTGTGAATAAAAATAGAAGGTTTGAAAGCCAGTCGGAGTCCAAAACCAGTTGGCATTGTTTGTGAAATCTTTATTATAATAAACTATACGTTTCGATCCGTGTATTGGATCCTTGTCAATAGTTACATGTAGTTACAATATATCATCATTCTTCCTGGAACTCTAAATTATAATGGGTTATATATTTGCATTATTTTATACCTTTAATTCAAACATAATGTTGGTATGTCATAGAGCTCAATAAATATAATTTGTAATTATTCTATTAAAAATTATGAATATGTATAATGTAATAATATTCAAAATTAGAAGAATGCAAAAGTACAAAAGAAAGAGTCGAACATGATATTTACAATGTTTATAATATTTAACTTTCTTAATGTAGATAAACAGCTATTAATATGATATTATTACAAAGTTGTTCTGCATTGTTAATTGATTCATTATTAGATACAATTGCAATTTTTCTTTAAACTTACATGAAATATTTTTAATAAATATGAAGAACACAGACATTCATGTCGAGCATCACCAACTGAATGTTACGAATAGTCTCAGCTGCTAATGTTTTTGTCCTTATATATATATATATATTCAAATGCCCGTCAAAAATGTAAAATCAATATTAAATAGAAAACTAAATTTTGTCCAATAAACAGTCATATACCGAATTTAATTTTTCCGTATCCGTTTGTAAATTTAAACTACAATCCTGTTTACGTATATGTATCATCTCAGAAGTAAGTCTTTTGTTCAATATAATTTCCTCGTCCAGTATTTCAACGTTGTTCCAATCAAACTCGTGCGAATATTTTACTCTATATTCAGTAATAACCGATTTTTGTTATGTGTTCCGGTTAATGTGATTCTTGTGTTCTGAAATCCTAGTTTTTAAAATTCTACCTGTTTGTCCTACATATGTTGCGTTGCAATCCCCACATGAAATTCTATAAACTACATTGTTATGTGATAATTTGGTAGTTTTATCCTTTTGTACCTTAATTATTCCATCGATTTTATTTATACTTTTATATGCTACTTTGATGTTATTATATTTAGTAAATTGATTCTTAATTTTATTTGCTATACTGGATATATATGGAATTACAAAAAAATTGAAAATGTTATTGTCATTATTTGATGCGTCTGATGTCCTGTCATTGTTATTATGATTAATTTGATTCATTTTCTTGTATATTCTCTTTCTCATTGTGTCCATGATTAGTTGTAACAGGTATCCGTTGTTGAGTAGAGTTTTTATAATTTTATCTATATTGGTTTTATGAAAACTGGGAGATGGGATAATAATAAAATCCTATCAATTAAACCGTATATAACTCCTATTTTTTGTGTTAGTGGATGCTGTGAAAAATAATTGAGATACCTGCCCGATGAAGTAGGTTTCTACCAGTCGTATATAATTTTATTGTCGTTGCTTTTTATTAAAGTAACGTCTAAAAAATTTAATTTGTCTCGTCCCTTTTCTAATGTGAATTGTAACTGGTTGTGATGATTATTGAATTCATTTAAAATTTTATTAATGTTATTCTGATTGGTCGCCAATGCAATGTCGTCAACATATCGCATATAAAATATTAGTTTTGTTGTCAAATTATTGAGACATTTAACTTCCAGGTCCTGTAACACAATGTTCGCAATTATAGGTGGAAAGCCCATTGGAATTTCAAATGTTTGTCTGTAATATGTGTTACTAAAGGTCAAATATGTGTGGATTCCAAGATAAATTTAATAGCTTTAATGAATTCCTGTTTGCTAATGTTGGTTTTATGTTTGATTTGATCCCATCTGTCATTTATACCCGTGATCGCTAAACTGACTGGTATGTTGGTATATAGAGATACAGCATCTAATGAATATAATTGATCATCCTTTCCTATTTTCAACTGTTGTACATTTTTTGTAACTTCGAAACTATTGTTGACCGTGTGAATATTTTTGTCTATGCTATCATTAATGATGTCGGGTAAATAAGTAGCTAAATTATGCAGAGGATTACCCGTAGATGACACAATTATACATAGAGGATTGTTTATCTTGTGAATTTTAGGTACCCCATATATTTTAGGTATTGGTATAATATTGGATTTGAGCTATTAAGCCAATTATATTTGGTGTCATTAATATACTCGTTAGTTTTCCATTTTTTTAAGTATATCTTTAAGATTAGAGATAATCTTGTTTACCGGATTACGATTGATTATTGTGTATGTATTTGTTTTTTTATCTCTTATTTAATAATTTTTAATACTGAATTACTTCTCTCTCTCTCTCTTTCTCTCTCTTGCATTTTTGCTATATAGATAATGGGTGGGATATATGGCAAAAATGCAAGGGTTTCAACAAACTAAACAAAGAATACGAAAGCAAAGCACTTGTATTTTGCTATATACAACATGCTTTACTATTCCTCTACACGTATGTATCACGAAATAACCACTAGGTCTTTTACACGCCTTACAGTAATCATTTTATGTAGATTATAATTTATGATTATGCTACTTGTTACACACACAGTGACAAATCGATTCAACTTATAATAATTTCATTAATATTAACAGTAAGAAGCTGAAATTATAACTCAATACTAATATAACATAAAGGCATGTAACAGAGTAGTTGCGAAAAAATTACCCCTACTCCTTCTATTTGTTTTTACTTACGCGGCGTAAATCCCAGCGCGGCGTATATACCGGAGTTACCCTACTTTGTGTTCAAAAATTACGTTCTATTTATAAAAATTGTCTTGGTAATAACTTTAATGAATAACGAACGACAGCTATAATCTATCAAAGATCACTCAGGATCATGACATTGACAACATGTTAAGGTCAAAGTCATCGGAGTTGACTCCCCTATTATAAATACAATATTTACCGAAAACCCATAAGACACGTACATTACTTAAGACGGTCTTGTAATATTAATATGGAGTATGAATACCAGTCCAAGACTCAGTTTTTTTTGGTACATGAGCAATCAATGTCGGTGATTTAAAAATATGTAAAAGAAAAAAAATATGCAAATGTAAGACTAATTTTGTTTTATTGAGTCTCTTCGGTATCGTTACATTGCTTAAGTTCCACTTTAATATAATTAGATCATTATTAATTTATAAATTATGTCTTATATGTAATAATATAATTTGATATAGGACGAGATGATTCACGAAATTGAAGAAGAAGAATCAGATCATGAGGAATGTAATTCGATTTTACCTAAAAAGGAAATCAAGGAAGAGATACAGGAAATTAGAAATAAGTTGCTGCTTTCCTTAAATGATCTACGGGAACATGCCATATAGTAATCAAATTATTATCGGTTTTAATGATAACAGTTTTATATATTTCTTTATGATAATTGTTTTATATTTTTGTAACGCAGAAGACTGCGAACTCCATTATTTATTTTGTCCAGCAATTCATCATACAAAATTAGCAAAAATATATATCACTATTATCTGTGATAATAATGATATATTTTCTGCTAATTTTATATATTTTTTAACTTAATATAACTCTTGCAATATAATGAATTTAATCAATATATAGGATGTACAAGGTATTCCGAAATTCGCGGATCAAACTATCACAGCAAGAAAGATTCCTTGAAAAATTAAGTAAAAAAGTTATTTGTAAATTTTTACTTCAAACAGTAATTTTTGAGATATAAAGGTTTAAATATGGCCAATTACAGACTACGTTTATATAAATGATCATCCACGAGTCATGCGTGGCGTGTGTTAATGAATATTGGTGAGCGCTCACTTCAGCACACTCACAAGTTATCGTCTAAACATAATCTGTAATTAATATATTTAAACCCTTATATTAAAAGAATTAATGTTTAAAATAAAAATTTCCAATTATTTTTTTACTTAGTTTTTTGAGAACTTACTTGCTTTGATATTTTAATTTACCAATTTCGGGAAATTCTGTATGTGTGTGTGTGTGTGTGTATATATATATATATATATATATATATACATACACACACAGGATGTCTCGAATTTAAATGACAAACTCTGATCTTATTAACTAATAACTCGCCGATCCCACACTCTTCTGTCTGGAAATCGAGGCGCATACTCTCGCACTATCTCTGAAGCATTAGATATCGCTCAAGTCGTACACGAAAATAATAATATTTCGCTTTGAAAGTAATAATATATTCCGAAACTTACGTTTTATCTTTTTTTTTTGCGATTTTCTTCAAAATGTAATAAAAATGAGCATATCTTTAAAGGACTTTCTTCTTAGTTTCTTGATCCTTTACACGCATGCGAAGTTTATTCTATTTAAATTCGGGACACCCTATATATAAAAGTATTACGTGGTCAAAATATATCAGTAATTATAAAATTTTAATCTAGTCGTCGTGTTCACATTGTGATTTCTAATTGTGCACATGGTATTTGTTATTCTATATATTATATGTTTATACTTTCAAATTCAACTATGGTGTTCTTTCTCATATTTCTTACTTATCAAGACACGATTGTGGCAGGTATTGCGAATATTCTAACGTGATCTTTATGATTAGCTTTTTATGACTAACTATTTTCTTATAATTACAAATTCGTTAACATACAAGTTAACATTTTTAGATACTTCAATAAAATCGTTCTTTCCATATAGATTAAACAAAAAATATGTCAGTTACAAAGGATTAAATGATAATTCATACAAGAATCAAATCGCACGAATTTACTCGATTAATTTTAATAAAAAGAGCATAAAGAAAATTGTCAAATGCGGACAGCAATTTTCTCATTATTTTGCTGTCAACAGATTTGCTATCACAAAAATAATTAAAGAAGCTCTGTAAAAACAATTATGAATTATACCTATATCGAATTTATTTTGAAAGATACAAGGAGAGCATAGGAATAGTTTTTCTGTAATCAAAGTAAGATTTAATTAAGCGCGAATCAATAGCTGATAATTAAGATCGAATCTCCAATTAGCGTCTTTGATCAAGCGATAATAATGATTTCCTGGCAATAAATACATTACATTACTCCACATTTCGCAAAATCGATCGTCGGGCAGAATCGAGAGTCGATCGAATCAATTAATTTCTCGATCACGTCGGAATCTCTTCAAATGAGCGGCGTTTTCCCGCGATAAACCGGAAATGCGCGTAACGATGTACTTATTACAACACTTGCGTCACAACTTTCGGCATTTTATCGGTGTGGCCGAGCGATCAAATGAAGCTGAGTGATCTGCCCGATTACTTTCCACCGGAAAACGTTTTGAGGGGTGGAAGAAGAGGTGGAGGGGGGGGAGTAACGAAGGGGGTTGGGCAAACGAGGAGGGGGTTATCGGGAGCGTTAATGCGCTGCCGGCATAGTAACGGGCTGGGAAAACGCGGCCGACGGTAATATCGTATACGCAAAAATTTTTTATAAGTTTTGATTTATAAACCGTTTGATGTGTGTATATCGCGCGTTGCGCGAACGAGCGGCATTTTATATACCGGGATGCATTACTAACGTTTTATGTGCACCCTCCGCCAGCCCCCGTTCCCCGCGCGCGGGCGGCCGCGCGCTCTTTGATCGACGGGAGAGAGAGAGAGAGAGAGAGAGGAGGAGGCAGGAGCTGATGGAAAAATGCGGCGTGCATAACTCGATTATAGACTGCACACACGTCGACGTGTGCGCGAACGGCGTTTTTACGCATCCCCGACGACGGTGTCGGTGTGCGGCGACGGCGACGGGGGTGGAAAAGGGGGTGGGACTGATATTATACTGGTACCGGGGTATCTGACGTCACGGTGAAAACACTCGTTTCATTTACCCGCCGTAAATACCGGCCGGATTAAATCAATTAGCATCAATTTCGCATGAGGATCTTAATCGCCACCACCGACGCCCTTTGACGCTTTTGAGGCTGGATTTGTTACAACGATATCCGATCTTCTCTTTTTATTCGCGATTTGTTACAACGATATCCGATCTTCTTTTTATTTTTTTTTTATATATTTATACAGCGCGTCAAATTTATCTGCGCGCTGTCGATGCGAAACTCGTGGAAACCCTGGATACCCAGCGGTAGGGGGGAGGAAGGGGAACGAAAAAAGCGTGCGGAAGTTCGAGTCTCGAGCGATGTAAATGTTTGAAGAGTTAATTGATGTAATTGAAAAATTGCGTTACTAGTGGAGCGTATATGTTTTAAAACACGCGTAATATTTTCAGAGTCAGCGGGAAATTGAACGATACGCGCATTCTATAAAAGTATTTATTATAGAACCCCGTCTCGTGTATAAAAAATATATTTTTAATTTAATATTGCAGAAAATATGGCAGGAATACCGTAGTTTCAACATAGATTTTCAAGTTTTTATTTTTTTTTTTTTTTAATGAAACGTGATATCGGCTATCACTTTTCATTTATCTTTGCCCTCTCTATGTTGTACCGACATATTTTATGGACACTTCGTAGAGTAAGTTGTTCGCAATTTGAAAAAAACTACTAAGCTTGTATCAGATTACCTATTGAAAATTGAGGATTGTAAATCGGAGATTAAAATTCGATCGATTAGAATAAAATGGATTAAAATAAAAATTATGTGATTAGTTGAATGCTAATTTTCGCAATTCTCAATCTTTACTACGTAATTCGATATGAGTTTTGTGATAACATTTGTCATTGTACACCGATATCAAAGGCGCAGTAATAATTTAATCTCCTGAATTAAATAATATTTTGTTACTTTTAATTTCCATGTGTGTTAACATGTAAATCAATCCATTTCTTTGATTGAATTGCTTAGCTTCAAAGTAAATAATATCTATATTAACGTACGAACTTAAAAAAAATAAACAATACATTATTATACATTTTAGTCAAATTTTATGTGAGTTTTCTTGAGTTAAATTGTTTAACTCTATTATTTTTAATTAACGACAAGAGTAGGAGTAGTGACGACCTGAAGAAATAACTAAAAATAAACTTAAAATGGGTATAATTTGATATAATATATGAATGTAATAGTATCCTTTAAGGTTAGTTGTTCCATCTTCGGATAAATTGTGTGATAATTTAATGAATAAATAAAAGAGTAAAGGCCGATTGTTCCATCTTTTGGTAAATTTTACCTGTTGGGTATAAGTAGCAAGATTACCCAATCACATGCGTAAGTTACCAGATTTACCTAACAGGTAAAATTTACCAAAAGGTGGAACAACCGGGCTTAAGAGCTGATTGTTCCATCTTCGGATAAACTATGTAGTATTTAACTACTGGATAAACAAAAGAATAAAAGAGTAAGAGTGTAAGAGAGTAATGCCCGTATTCATAGTCAGACTTCGTACTTAAGGCTTCCTTAAATTTATTTTTAGATGCTCAGTAGCCAATATGAATGAAATAATTCGTAGAGCATCTGAAGATAAATTTAAGGAAGCCTTAAATATAAGGCCTGACTATAAATACGGGCATAAGACAGTGAACTGAAGTTTAACGAAAGGTGGAACAGCCTAGCCTAAGAACATAAGAGAATAAGAGAGTGAGCCTGAAGTTTGAGTCGAAAGGTCAAACAACCCAGCCTTAATCTCTCTCTTCTTTCGTCGCATTTCCATTTTATCTTTCCAGATAGTTATTATTCCTTGTTTTACTTAACAACATATTACTCGCACTTTTTCCATCTTGCCACTATATTACATCCTTCATAAGTTATCTTAACGGTGTTGATATCGTGATATTGATCCCATCTCGAAATTTCCTTGCTCTAGTTTAAGTTTCGTTACTCTTGTTCCCTTTTCTTTTCTACTCACCTCTCACAATGTGCCGATACTCTCTCGAAAAGTATCGGAGTAGAATCGGGATGCTTATCAATGATGCATTTAATGAAGGAAGATATCAATATATTTAATGTTATATATTTTACTTTTCTACGCGCAACATGCAAGTCGACAAGTTTAAGAAAGGCGTAAAGAAATGTAAAGAACGACGAGAAATATACTAGCCGTCATTGCCGGCGTTCGTGAACGCCGCTGCAAAATAACGGACTAGCCTTTTAGAGTTTACCACTACCATCACCGCCGCCACCATCACCACCACCACTTCCGCAAAATTTATTAAATGATTTATTTGATGTTTGCCATGCCGCGCGCGTGTTACGCACATGTGTGTGCGTGTGTGTAGGTGCGCGCGCGTATCGAGCGGGTGCCGCACAACCACCCACACATCG